CCCCAAAACCCCAAAACCCCAAAACCCCAAAACCCCTTGCTTAGCCCAGCTGATTGAAAAGAGAGATATTTGTGAGTTCACTAATTTAATAAAATTAGACTAAAGAAAAAGATGCAAAGAAGAGTTCAACAAGAGGAATTTGAAGAAAGTGATGTCCTTCATAGCCATATTCTGAAGTACATCCAGTTCTGTACAATGATCAAGAACAATGAGCTCAGAAAAAGTAAAATTTGTTGTTAGTTTACTTCGCTTGAAGTGCAATTCTGATCTAATTTAGAAGAGAAAGCCCTCAGAGGTGCTGTTGAAGAGGTCAACAGCCGTAAGATACTATTTTTAGACATACTTTATAGTCCTTGAAACCTATGCCTTACATGCTGTGGATAAAGGTGAGAAATTTTCAGAGTTATGCGCCAAAATGGGAATTTGGATGCTCAGAGGTAAGTTTTGTAAAAAGATTCATAAATTCTTAGCTAACTCCACTAAACTAAAATCTATAGCTTACGATCTGATAGACATACTGTACCAGGAAGATATCCAGAAGTTCATCACGAAGAAGCTGTGTGAGACCAGTCAGTCTCTCTTGATAGACTTAATCAAGCACATAACTGATAATGCTTACTCCAATTGTTTGGATAGCAAGGACAAGAACAGCGTCAAGAAGGACGGAGGCTTCCTCTATGTCTTCTCTAACGGAAAGGTAAGATTCCATATCTGACAAGTTTAGATCGCTGGGTATAACAACTTTATGTATAAGCACAGATACATTTTTACAAGTGATGAAGAGAAGTTCTTTCTCTTTAAGGACTTCTCAGAAGTCAATTCTAACTGGAAGGGATTTGACCTTGACAAAACTGAGGTTTACCAGTATATAACTCCAAACCCAGACATTCAGGTATGCAACTTAGTAACTTTAAATGACTCTGGGGTGCTTCGATGTATCTTCTAATTTTTCAGTTCCAGGAAAGTCTAAACTCATTATAGGATATGAATAGAGAGGAATATGTCATAAATATGTCTTCCTCACCAGTCCATTTCCAAGTCTGAGTCGAAATGGATGGTGATAGTAAGATTGAGAAGATTCAGGTAAGTTTTATAACCCTAAGTGACACTCTTTGGTTGCCTAGCCCTCTTTAAACTTCTCTTTAGGGGTACAGAATCAACATAAAAATTGAATAAACTCTTAAATATTGAAACTTTCAATGAATTATTAGTTATCAGGGGTTTTGGGGTTTTGGGGTTTTGGGGTTTTGGGGTTTTGGGGTTTTGGGG